TCAATTATTAATGTGTACAAGGGAAAAATGAAAGATGTCACTTTAAGCATAACATTATTGTATGAAACACTGAAAAATGCAAATTCATTTTTATATATGCTAAAGATTATTATATCAAAATCATAAAATAAACACCAATCTATCACAATAGTATGTTAATTTTACAATAAACCCGATACATGCTGTATTAATTAAATCATATAAATTTAATTCTCAAGAAAGTCCAGTAAACATCCATTGACTTGGTATTAATTTTTGAATTTGCAAAAAAATATAGGTCCTACTTTATATTAAGTGTCGCTTATACCTGTATAACTAGATGTGTAAGTAGTATGTTGTTACAGTGTATGTACACACCGGTACATAGTGTTTACTTGTGTATTACTGGATTAAGTACACACATGTAACAACACACTGAATGAGTTCAAATGTTTAATAGGACATTAATAATACAATTTTTGGTAAACTACCCTTTTAATGTGAATTACTGATGTGATTCTACTATTTAACTTCAAACAACATACAAGGCATTTGTATATTTCTATATACACTTATACTTTTTTGGCAGAATTTTTTTTACACCTTTTTTACACTTTATATTGAGTGGACAGTTCCTGAGAATTTACCCTGTAATTACACTGGTATCACAACGTGAAACCTTCTAATGTAGAATTAGTTCTGCCATTCTTATTCTAAAACAGGAAAACACCTGCAAGTACATATCGTTGTTACACAATGCACTTATGTAATTCATGTTATGAATGTGTACTTTTTTAGTGTTGTTATGTGTAATGTCCTGTTACACATTTGAACTTACACATACTATTCAGTGTGTTGTTACATGTGTGTAGTTACACCAGTATTACACAAGTAAATACTATATGCCAGTGTATACATACAGTTACATACTTCATACACATCTAATTACCATGTAAGTTCACAGTTATAAGCAACAATATAACGTGGAACCAAAATATATTTTATCATTTAGACTGGTAAAACTTTGGATAATATTATGTTGTTGTTTTTTTTTAATTGGCCTATTTTATACATTGGTTAATTGTAAATTGTATGTGATTTTAACAGCACTTTGTTAAAAGTGATGAGAATTTAGTTTTATACAATCACCAATATGTGATCTAACATACAGTAAGTTGTAATAATAATTATCATTATTATTGTACATTTTGCTATTTGAATATACATGCACCGGCCACTTTATTAGGTACACTTTAGTAGTACCGCGATGGACCCATTTTGCCCTCAGAACTGCCTTAATCCTTTGTTGCATAGGTTCAGCAAGGTACTGGAGATACTCAGAGATTTTGGTCCATATTGGCATGATAGCATCGCGCAATTCCTGCAGATTTGTCAGCTGCACATCCATGATGCGAATCTCCCATTTAAACACATCCCAATTGGATTGAGATCTGGTGACTGTGGAGGCCATTTGAGTACAGTGAACTCATTGTCATGTTCAAGAAACCAGTCTGAGATTATTCACGCTTTATAACATGTCTCGTTATATGCTTGAAGTAGCCATCAGAAGATGTTGCCTACAGATGAGCCTCAGTTTACTGTTCTTAGCTGACAGGAGTGGCACCCGGTGTGGTCTTTTGCTGCTGTAGCCCATCTGCCTCAAGGTTCAACGTGTAAATGCTCTTCTGCATACCTTGGTTGTTACGAGTGGTTATTTGAGTTACTGGGGCCTCTATATTAGATTAAACCAGTCTGGTCATTCTTCTCTAACCTCTGGCATAAACAAGACATTTGTACACACAGAACTGCCACTCACTGGATATTTTCTCTTTTTTTGAAGACCATGCTCTCTAAACCCTAGAAATGGTTGTGCATGAAGATCCCAGTAGATCAGCAGTTTCTGAAATACTTAGACCAGCCCATTTGGCACCAACAAACAAGTCATATTCATAGTGATTTAAATCACATTTCTTCCCCATTCTGATGCTCGGTGTGAACTGCAGCAGATTGTCTTGACCATGTCCACATGCCTAGAAGCATTGAGTTGCTGCCATGTGAATTAGATATTGTGTTAATGAGCAGTTGGACAGGTGTACCTAATAAAGTGTCTGGTAAGTGTATTTCATAATATTATGTATTTTTGTGATTGACAGCAGCTTAATCAACAACCATCATTTACTTGTGTTGTTTATTTTCATGTGTAAATGCAATGCATTTATGTTGTGTTGTTTATACGCCATTGTCTTCAAAGTAGTCACTTTTTTTTTCTTTCAAAGTTAATTTACTTTGTTTAAAATGGCAAAACTCCATTAACTGACTCATAAATGGAGCTATTAGTACAAATAAATCTCTTTTTATGCCTAGCAGACGTTTACTCAGACCGCGGGTTCAACTTCATATTTGACATGCTAAATAACACATAGAGCACCTCGATAAATGGTCAGATTCATGAAGCTGACTGACATGAGCAAGCTTTCAGTACTGTGTGTGTCTGTGTGTGTTTGAACAGCGGCTTCAACGACCTCAGATGTCTCATCCTGGTCTGACAGTGTCACCTGAGAGAGACGAAGGTCTTCACTCAGCCATCAGATCATAGTCTGTGGGGATACAGGGTGGTTTCGCCGGGGGGCTGGAATAGATATTCTTTCTGCTCAGTGCAAACCAATCCATCCCTGTACAATAGGGCACAAAAGGAGAGCATTAAAAGATCATTTTCTGAGATGCCAACTATGTTAAAGCAGTGCGTACTTTTGTTCAAAGTTATTTGAGGTCAGTATCATGTTCTAGACATATGAGTGTTTTCTTCACCTGAAAATATAACATTTTTTTTTGCTTAATGTCTCCTTTATTTCCTTTATATTAATTTGTTTAATATAAATTTATATACTATTGTCACCTTAAGAAAACAGTCAGAATCATATTGCAGTTCATATTGCATTATGTTTATATTAACTCATATATTAACTCATGAAGAGAATAAGCACAACCACTTTATACCATGCACCAGGGCGCAAAGCATGCTAATTTAAGGATCTCCGTCCTTAAAATAGCAAAGGTGGATTCAGACACACCCTCAATGCTTTTGCACCAGGCACTTTAGACCAAGTGCTTACATCGTTAAAATAGAGCCTGTTATGTCATTCGCCATTTTCAGTGCATTAAAATATTGTTTTTTAAGCTGAATCTGTACTTAATTTTAGAAGTCTATGGTTCAGCTGAAGTGATTTATATAAACTATTTAATATACAATGATCTGGGATTTAGCCAGCACAGTCTTTCCAAACAAGTGTCATGTTGTCTTCTGGGTTTTCCTCTTCTCTTTGTTTACTTTCAGGAGTTCAGTAGGAATATTCACACATTGTTCATTTTGACCAATCAAAAGGCAGTTTAGGAATTACATTAAATGACACTTCTGGCTAACGAGTGATGTGGATGTTGTCAGGTGACTGCATTTTTGTTAGTTTCAACTGGTTCAGACCTGAATAATCAGTGCAGTGTGAAGACAAACCAAAACTGTATAAGAATACTATAAAGTATCATTTGTTGAACTTGGTCGGGACCAAATGAACCAAAACCAGTTGTGAAATAGGCATGGGACAATACCCGGTTTCAAGGCTTACCGTAGTTTGATAAAGTCAAGGTTTTAAAACCGCTAAAATTTTCTGTTATACTGTTCATAAGGTGTATGTCTAAGGTATATGTCAGTTTTTTTATGTGTTGTAAAGAAATCTTTTTTTTTTTAATTAATGAAGAGAGCAGAAGGCAGTAATTTATTTTAATTATTTAGCCTTACATGTTTACTGATCCAAAATGGCGAGTTTTTTTTTTTTTTTTTTTTTTTTACCCAGACATTCAAAAAGAGCTTATTTTTAATCAGTAATCATAATACTGTGATACCGTGAATTTTTATCCAAGGTTATCATACTGTCAGAATCTTATACGGGCCCATGCCAAGTGTGAAAGCACTCCTAAACTATCATCAGGAGCCAAGGTATTCATTTTGTTTTGTCTGTATATGTTTTTGAGTCCCAAAGTGATGGTTATCATCGACTCACACTTTACGAATGACCAAATACTAGTTTTATCTAGTGTTAGCCCATTTTCTTGTAAGGATGTGTAAATTGACAGCAAATTGTAGGTTCTTGAGTGAACTATCCCTTTAACTTACAGGATCTTATTGTAAAGCGTTACCGTGAGTTCTAAAGGAGAACGTCTCACTCCCTTTGCATTCAGCTCGGAATCTTTCCTGACCATCTTCTCCGGCTCATCTGTAAGGATGGAGAGATCAGAAGAAAAAGAGGAGGCTTATTAGCCAAGAGGGTGACAGCACACTTGGTATGCATGAGAACAGCGAGAGTAACCTTTTATCAATCAGCTTTCATCACTGACCGGCCCTACTGAGGGAACACAAAGCAGGCGGTCAGCAACATTTCACTCTTCTCGTTTTCCCCCGGCTTGTTGCTGCAGCAACTAAACCTCTGAAAACCCCTTGCTTTTATGAGCTTTAGACTGGCTTAGTTAAACACCATGCCATCTCTCATTTACTTCCACTCTATAGCCAGACAGGTCGTTTAGACGTATGCTCTGAAATATAGTGTCCTTTGATAAATAATGAACGCACTGAAAAGGCCGCAGAAGGAAAATGGCTATGATACACATGGGTCTCAATTGTATTCAAACACACATCTTTAGATAAATGGCTCCTCCTCTCTCAGGAACGCAGACTCCTAGGCTTATATTGATGTGGAACAGACAGTGAAAGTTTGCAGGCTTTTTCCCAGGGATGGACGGAGGAGGAGGAAGAATTGAGGCATTTTAGCGTTTCACCCCAAAGGCACTCCAAATTCTTGCCTGGTCTTTTGAGGTGCAGGGCACAAATAGTCCTGTGAGATGGGAGAGTGATTGGAAGGAGGCTTGCTTTGGCAGGCTGGCTGGTGGGCGGGACGTTCAGTGATGAAACGTTGCATAAATAATACCAGAGGGGGGCGCTGGGTCTCTGTTGCCATGGAGACCTTTGTGGCTGGCTGAGTCTGTGTTGTGCGCGAGGTGCTGGGAAGCTGCGGCTGGCAGAGCGGCCGCGCCTGTAATGACTTGAGGAATTTCTCTAATGGGAAGAGCTAAGTGGAAGAAGGATGGTCGACGCCACGTACTGGCTTTATACTGATCTCTGACGTGTGCTGCCAGATGAGGTGCGGCTGATGTGTGTGAGAAAACGTGGTGGATTGGAATGTTGCTGATTTAAAGGGTGAGTTTGAAGTTTTTGAACTTATGCATGTTTTGGTTATGTCAGTTGAGGTGTGTGTGGAAGTAATTTTTCTGGTGGACGTTAGGGTTCTTGCTTTATTATGCTTGGGATGATACATCAAAGTTACTACATGCAAGTATGTTGTTTCCAGTAGTTTTGTTGGTTTTGATTGGTGGGTTTCAGTCGCTATTAACTGTTTGGTGTGATTATTTGATTTTTAAAGATGGATTTTTCATGAGTTTGTGTTTAAAGTATTTATTGCACTTGTTTTCTTTAAACTCTGATCAACAGGTGCTAGTGGTATGCAGCATCTGTTTACCTTGCTTGATTAAAGTTAATTTGATTGATTGATTGATTTATTGATTGATTGATTGATTGATTGATTGATTGATTGATTGATTGATTGATTGATTGATTGATTGATTGATTGATTGATTGATTGATTGATCGATTGATCGATTGATCGATTGATTAAGATATCATTAAAATGTCATTGTAGGTTTGCACTGTGTAATACATATGGCAATATACTAAATCAATTTTATGCATTTTTTTCACACTTTGTAGTTTATGAACTTATTTTTTTCATATATAAATAATATTTTATTATTCATTCATTTTCTTTTCGGCTTAGTCCCTTTATTAATCAGGTGCTGCCGCAGCGGAATAAACCGCCAAGTAATGCAGCATATGTTTTACACAGCCCTTCCAACCGCAACCCAGCACTGGGAAACACCCATACACTCTTGCAATCACACCCACACATATATTACGGCCAGTTTAGCTTATTCAATTCACCTATACCACATGTCTTTGGACTGTGGGGGAAACCGGAGCACAAGGAGAAAACCTATATGAACACAGATGTGAACACAGGAAGAACATGCAAACTCCCCACAGATATACCAACTGACCTAGCCAGGGCTCGAACCGATGGCACTACCCACTGCACCACCATGTCTACTTATATTTTATTAATAACTGCAATAAATAAATAAATAATATAAAGTTGCATGGGCACTCTATGTTGCTAGTACGGCTCTTTACATGTCTGCCTGCACAGTCAACCAGGTCCAAGTTAAATCCCTATTTAATGTATTACTTCAGGTCCTGGAAATTATGTTATAACCGAGCCAATCTATGCTAACTGGCCATGATTATATTCATTCAGTGTTTTTGTTGATGATAATGCCGGTTGCATTGAGTTGCTTTCAAACTGAATATGAAATTTCAACCAATAGAAACTTGGAAAACATTGAGTAAAGACCAATCATGCACTGTTTTATTCTGATTTAATTACTGATCTTGCATTAACTGTTCACTATGCAGGAAAAAAAGTGTCATTTGTTTGTGGCAGGTAACTGAGTTGACCAATTCTCTTTCATTGCTTTCTTCATCTCATCATTTTTTTTCTCTCTCTTTATCGGGGCCGGGTCGTGGGGGAAGCAGTCTTTGTAGAGAACCTCCAGTTCCTCTAGGAGGAAATCCTGGTCATTCCCAGGCCAGCCGAGATACATAGTCCCTCCAGCGTATCTTGGATCTTCCCCGAAGCCTCTTCCATGCCTGGAAAACCTCACTAGGTTGGCATCTAGGAGGCTTCTGAAATAGAGAGCCAAGCCACCTCAGTTGACTTCTCTCGATGTGAAGGAGCACCAGCTCTACTCTGTGCTCCTCCGGGGTGACAGAGCTCCTCATTCTATCTATAAGGGTGCGCCCTGCCACCCTATGAAGGAAACTAATTTTGGCCGCTTGCATCCAAGATCTTTTTCTTTTGGTCATGACCCAAAGCTCATGACCATAGGTGAGAGAAGGAACGTAGATTGACTGGTAAATCGAGAGGTTTGCCTTTCGGCTGAGCTCCTTCTTTACCACAACGAACCAATACATAGACCACATTACTGCTGCTGTTTCACCAATCCGCCTGTCAATCTCACATTCCATCCTTCCCCCATTCGTGAACAAAACCCCAAGATGCTTGAACTCCTCCACCTGGGTTAAGGACCTTCCTCCAACCTGGAGATGGCTTATGCTTTCTTATGTATTTTTTTTTTTTTTTTACTTTACTTGTTATCCAAAATCTTGCAAAGGCATTTTACATTTGGTAATAAATTATTTATCTCATCCTAATAGCAAAATACTGTGATATCCTGAACATGTCTAAATGATTTTGTGTCTTCTAGACAGTTTTGGGTCCAGCTTTGAAATAATACACGGGTCCAGGTGGGTTCTCTGTGGCACAGCCAACCACCAGGGGGCTCATCTAAATATTTTAGCTTCAATTTTCAGTGCAGCACACTTGGAATGGGAGGAAAACTTCTGTTTCAGTGTTTCTTTCTTTAACAATACTTTGCATTTACTCAATTTACTCAATTATTTAATGAAATGGTATAATGAAAATAATGAGAGGGAAATCAAAAGTTCTGCCAATGGTTTGTATTTTCTCACACACACAAAAACCCATAACAGCCCATTTGAATCGATTTACACAAATGAACAAACTTGTTTTTTTTTTTTAATGAGACAGAAAACATACACATATTTCTTGGTGTTCTCACACAGACTTCTAATTAGATGAGGAGGGAATACAAAACCAATATTTAAAAAATGTAGTTAAAAAGACTATAAAATTACATTTAATTTTGGAGAATTGTAAATATTTCTATATCAAATATTTTGTCATTATTATAAATTCTGTGCTGAAAAGATCTATACAGAACACCACCACCCAGCAGCATCTTTCTTTTCTTTTAATCAATGATGATGTATCCTCTAGTTCACAGGATGCATCTTCTTCAAACGTGCCAATCCTCACTGCACATATGTGAGAAAAAGCAAATCTTATGGGAGAAGTGTGAAGGCTGTGAGAGGAAAAAAAAAAGAGTTTAATTTGTGGTCTCTTGGTTTGTCTGGTGGCCGAAAGCCGGTTGGTTGTGATTAAGTGCAGATGAAGAGAGGTGTTTTGGGATTGAAAATGGATAAGGAGTTGTTTTGGTGTCTGGGAAAATGTGCTGGTGGAACACACCATCATCTAATTCAGTCCACAAATGGCTTTCAGAGCTGGATCAATAAACCCTGCTATTGTACGACCCCCGTATGCATGTGGTTACGGATCAGACCCCCATCGATTCTCCTGCCCAGCTGTAATTAAAACAGGTACCGGTGACAAGAAACCCCTGCTGAGGAGAATCTGATTGCTTTCTGAGTTGCTTTTTTTATCATTTGCTTCCTGGACCGGTTCTCAGCTCTAATAGGCAGCCGGGAATAAAACACTTTGGGGCCCTCCACACCTTTTTCGTCCTCTCATTTGAAGAATTGGGAGTCCTTTGAAGGCTTATCGTTGGAAGAAATACCTGGCTTCAGGCTCTAAACTTGGCTGCCTGGAGGGGGCAGCTTGGGGCTTGCCGTCTAAGTGATTATATGTGCCGTCCAGTTGTGGAATGGGTCTTTGTTGGTGCTGATGGTGCACTTTTTGTCCCAGCTGGGGTGTTAGTGGTGATTATCATCTCTCAGGGCCGGCCGGAGGTCTGCCTGTTTGATTTATAGCTGGCGCTTCACAGTTTCACAAGTTTCTCAATGGAACTAGAGTTTAATCTAATCAAAATAATATGCTTTTAGCTCAATTTAATTACAGGAAAGCGCAGGATGTGCCCACTGTAGGCTTTTAAAATATTATATTGAGCGTAATTAGTGGTTCTTGCAAAGGCAGATTTGGCTTATAAGGTTTGGGATTTGTACAAACCCCAAACACTTAATATTAGTGTATGTTAACTCTTGACTTTTCTCTTAAACATAATCATCTTTTTTTTCCTAATTGGATTTAATTCCACCTTCAAGCCCCAAAGAATACCATAGGTGCAAAATGACAGTGGTCACATCTAGGACATTTTGACCTAATTTTACTGCTGTTAACAAAAATGAAAATACATTTTGTCATCCTTACTCATTTTATGTCTTCAATGCTTCATTCCTTCGAAGCATACTCCATCCAATATCATACCTGACCATGTGCTTGATTTAGTACCCATGTATTCTATGTTTAAATGGTAAGAAATCTATTTTCATTTATTTATTATGTAAATGTATGAGTATTTATTATGTGTATTTATGTGTATGTATTGTGTAATTAATATTTATTTTTAATGCAATCATTTATTCATATCACTTGATAGTGATTTTGTGAATGAGCATTCAATCTTAATGTTTTTTAATACCTCATCATTGTTATTGACTAATAATGTTGTTGGCTTTCAAGGTAACATACTGTAGTTTCAATACAACTTTAAGTTCAATTCATGCCTGATAGGCACAAATAAACAAGGACAATCACTAGAAAACACGACTTTAACAGACAGAATACATCTGTAGACTCTGGATTCTGTTGTTGTCTTACCTAATTTCTGGAACTGCTCTTCCCTGGACTCGAACCCGGACATCGCTGTCGGCTCCCCTCCAGGTCTCTGCTCCACCGACGTTCATGACGAGCTAGCCAGATAAACTGGTTGCGGTGGGAGGTGAGCTGTCAGCCAGCGAGCGCGAAGAGGAGTGGCGTCACACCGCCGTGTAGTGTTCGCTTGACAAAATAAAATGCAGCCATACATACCTCTGGCCATGTAAATTGAGGCCTCCAGAAACGTCCCCGGGGCTACGTTTTCAGAATGAACTTGGGTTGAAAAAGAAAGTAAAATCGGTGCCCTTAAATGTTCCCATTAATGCTCCCATTTTACTTGTTACAGTTCAATGATCACATGCCATCCAATGGTCTGTCTATAATTTTGTGTTAAAATACAGTATAGTTCATCCTCATTTTGATACACTATACAGTTTTGGGTTTTGAGTTTTGTTTTTACAAAAGATTTAAGTGCAGTTTATTATTCGTCAGTTTATAATTCATTATGCTATATGTGCTAACAGATGCAGGCAAATAAAAATTCTGGGCATAATGCTGTTTAGCTTTCATCAAAATGTTGACCACTGCCACCATGCTAATACTGTTGCATAATGTGGTGATGATTAATGATTAATTTATGTAAATGGATTTACTGCATTTCCATAATTTGACTTAAATATTAATATTCGGCATTTTAATTCAGTTTGTGCTTACTTCAACTCTAAAAATAAGATATTCCAAAATCTCTGTTTACATGGTAGTGTAAATCCTAATATTAAATATATAAAGTATGTTATTTCTAGATAACAATGACTGAATCTAACACAGACTGATCCTGGTAGTTCAAATCATCTTTAAATGGGTTTATTTCAGCCCAGACTCACAATGAAATGTAACTTATTGAAGTATTGTGAGAAAAGTGGCCAATTCATGCATTCCATTTACTTCATATGAAAACTGTACGATTTTTAAAAGGAGATGTGCCCGACAATTTACACAGTATAACATTATTCACACGTTTTACTTAACAACTGTTCAACTCAATAGAATGGGTTTGGCAAATAATACCGGTTGTTGGGAATGTCAAAAAGACAAAGGCACATTTATTTGAGTGACATGTAAGCTGTGGTCAGAATAAAAAAGTGTTTCAGTGTGTTTTTTGGACTTTATATCTGCTACATTTTTTTTTCTCCAAAACTTACTAACCAAGCAAAAAAAAAAAAAAATAAATAAATAAAATAAAATAAAATAAAAAAATCTAAAAAAATGCAAGCATGTACATCAATATTTCTTACAGATTATTCTAGCAAAGTTTGTGCTGAATACAAAGTAAATACATGTTGGGCATTATTATGTAATAAGTAGCTGAAATAAGCACAAATGTCAGGACATGTCAAACCATTTTAGGGGCCCCAAAATCACCTCAGACCCCAGAGGGTTAAAACACTGGAAAACTCCCCAAATTTAAATGAAGTTAAAGGAACGGGTCAATATAATGACAAAAACAGCTTCGTATGACCATTTACTGTACAAATTACATAATAAGGACACAGCAGAGGTCCCTGTCTGTATTTCATTGTGGGAAGTCAAATGTGATGATGTCTTGTAACACAATTTAAAATTACTCACCAGGTTTACTTTTTAATATTTTGTCCATATTAACCACTGTATACATCCTAGATTTACATTTAGTAGGCCAGTGATCAGTTGTAATATGTGTTTGTATTATTTTGTCATGTACCAGAGGAAAACAATAAAACACTTGAATTAAAAAAGGAGGCGTGCCCTCAAACCCCAACCCCTGAGTAAATCATACTAAAATTTACAAATGAGACAACAAATAATGTGAATAATATGAGTTAGCCACTAATTCAAAAAGGTACGAATTGTCATGAGATTGTGTCGGTTTATTCATATTCATATTTATAAACACAACTGTCATGCTGCTCTTTTTGATTGTTTTGTGACTGAATAATATATGGGTCAGTGTGGACCGCTTTCAGCCATTTTTTTCTTTCTGCAAGCTGTACATTTATTAAAGGGCTATTACTTATTATTGCTCGCATCAGTGTTTTTTCCCTAATTGTTTACTTTTGTGGCAAATAGCCATGTAATAAGCAGTGTAATATAAATGTAGGTGGTTGCTTTTGCAAATTTAAGCTCTAGATATACATTATCTTCATTGTGTTACGAATATTGGGTAACACTGTACTTGAAGCAGGTGTTCATAAGAATGTCATTAAACTTTTATAATCATATACCACATGATGAATATGAATAAGATTTTATGCATGCTTATTGCAACTATTATAGTGTCATTCACTCAATTATGTCAAACCAAAGATGACATTGTTTGGGATGTCTTTGTTATGACAACTTAACATCTACAGATGTTTTCTTGTCTGATTAATGATGCTCAATGTGAGTTTGTGAACTGACCATTGCCTGTTTCCTCTTTTTCTCAGGAAATCCAGTTTGAAAGATTAACTCGGGAGCTGGAGGCAGAGCGTCAGATAGTGGCGACTCAGTTGGAGCGATGCAAACTGGGGTCTGAGGCAGGTGGCAGTATGAGCAGCATCAGGTAATGCCAATATATTGTGTGGGATGTGTGCACAGGCTATCTAATGCTTCAACAAGTCTCTATAATGAGAACATGATGTCTGAAGGAGGGAAATGTGTGCTTATGAAAACGTAGGCGGTGTTTTTGGCATTTATATAGAGGGGTCAGAGAGAGGTTTAAGGCGAGACAGTGCAGCCAAAAAATAATAAATCTTGCAACTGTCCATTTATTTATTTATTTATTTATTTATTTTGCTTTACCTGTAAATAGTGTTTTTTCTTTAGTCTTCTGTAAAAGAAAATATTGTCATCTTTTTTGCCCTTTTCACATGTGTCTTGCCTTAGCATGTCATTCTGACTTTTTACATGTAGAACCTTGAGTTTATATTTGAAAAAAGTGTGTGTGGATCCCCATGTTGATGGATCTAAATGCTTTATTTGTCTTGTGTACATGTGACTTTTTTTTTCGCATGAGGCATCTGGGTTAAACTAGTTTTCACAATCGTAGAACAGGTTTCTTTCATGCCTTGGAGAGGCTTATAGACATTAACTGCATGACAGAGCTCCATCTGAGCCCCAAACTCACTTCTGCATATACGTCACTTACAGAAGCTGAGCAAGAACATACAATAGACTTCTAATGTTTTTATTCTGAAGCTTAAATAATAGCAAGTATGTATGTATTTTATATTATTATTATTATTTATAAGAGTATTACAGTTAAAATCAGAATTGCTTAACCCACCTTGAATTATTTTTCTTTTTTAAGAAATTCCCATATGATGTTTAACAGAGCAAAGATATTTTTACAGTATGTCTGATAATATTGGAGAAAGTTTTATTTGTTTTATTTTGGCTATTTGTTTGATAGTCTACAGAATGAACCATCATTTTACAATAACTTGCCTAATTACCCTATCCTGCCTAGTTAACCTAATCAACCTAGTTAAGCCTTTAAATGTCACTTTAGGCTGTATAGAAGTGTCTTAAAAATATCTAGTCAAATATTATTTACTGTCATCATGGCAAAGCTAAAATAAATCAGTTATTAGAAATGAGTTAATAAAACTGTTATGTTTAGAAATGTGTTAAAAAATCTGCTCTCCGTTAAACAGAAATTGAGGAAAAAAATAAACAGGGGAGCTAATAATTCAAACTTCAACTGTAAATGTGTGTGTGTGTGTGTGTGTGTGTGTGTGTGTGTGTGTGTGTGTGTCTAATCTTTACTTAAGCGAGTGTGCCATTAGCTTGCCCAGCATTCAATAGCAATTAACATCATTTAGCTTTTGTTAACATTCCTCACACTTGTTAATTATGCACAACTCTTGGCAGTTTGACCTTCCAGGAGTCTCTTGTTAACTCAGAGTTTCTTGGTTTCAGTAAAAGAGGAAGTAAAAGGGACCCTGAAGGTCTTTTCCTCTTTTATATTGACTCTCAGCAGCAGTGACTCTCAGATGGCGGACAGCTTCAAATAACATCTTCAGCTTCCAAAATGCACTGTATGAATATGTTTGACTGTTAAAGATAATGTATCATGAACATCTATGTTGAAGTGTTTTTTTAAAAAAAAGCAAATCAGATTTAACCTTGAGGGCTCTAGTTTAATGATCTAGGCGCAAAGTCTAAAGGGCATGATGCGAAAGCATTAAGGGCTTGTCCGAATCCACTTTTGCTATTTTAAGGATGGAAAAGTACGCTCTGCACTCTGGTAAATGGTCTAACAGGGTTGTTCTTATTCTCTTAATGAGTTAAGGGTGTGTTTTGAGCATAACGTGCATTAAACCAAATCAGAGTCTCATCTCCCATTCCCTTTAATGCCAGGAGCTTCAGCGTCAATGCTTGACAGAGGGTGTGTCTGAAGTTGGAGCTGACGTGATTGTCACAGCAGCATCAGTCAATAGAATTAGTCAGAATTTGGCTACTGTCTGAGCTGGTTTATTTGCATACAGCGATCTGATTGGCTGATGCTTTTGTTGGCGCTTGAAAAGTTGAGAAAGTCTCAACTTCTGCAGCAAGCAACACTGCTGTAGCAGTGCCTACAGATCCACGATTCAATTCAGTGAAGACATTCTTTGCAATGCAAATTCATTTAGATTCACTAGTAGATTATATCTACTAAATTGCAGAAAATATTACTTTACGAGCTGTATTGTAAATAAATCACAATAAAACAATAAAATCACAATAAAACACATTTTAATTGAAGTTAATAATACAAATTACATTAATATGAAACTCTATAACTATACACAGTCCAGTCAAATCTCATGACTCACTTGACTGTACATATGCACATTTACATAAGTTAATAAATAGACTCAATGGGCTAAAAAAAATCTCCCAAAATCTAAGGATTACTGTGTCCACAGATTTTGTGTGGGCCTACTAATAAGGTGATGTTCATATAAGTTCTACACTTGTTTTGTTGTTTCTGGAGTGTCAGAACAGCATGCAAGGCTCTACCTGATTTTGGCAAACAGCATTTAATTTGTATCTAAATTGATATACACAAATAGCATATTTTTGTTCACACCCAAATGCTGACAAATTTGACAAGCTATAATTGTAACAGTGATAGTGACGCTAGCAATGTAGTGAGGATCCATATGCAGGTCTTTATTGAGATAGAGATGGTCAGGCAAGCAATAGTCAAAACAGTAATGATGTGACGTTGTGTGCCGATGGTTCAAAGCATGAATCAAAAAAATAAAACTTCTCGCATTGAAGCAGCGTACCAGAGCTTGATTCATTTTGCCATCATCACGTGATCAGTGACGTCCACCTATACCTACGTGACTGCTTTTGATTGAAAGGTTTAAACACCCTCATGGGTTAGTAAAGTGTATAGCGAGAGATAAGGCGTTGATTACATACATTTCCACTGTTTTAAAGCACTGCACCGGTCCCACAAACCAGTAATTAAACTAAAATACAATAATAATTTTTTGTACAAAGATTTTGAATCATACTAAAGTGTATTAGCCAACCCAAGCTCATTCTGGAAACATAGCCCCGGGATCGTTTCTGGAGACCGCGATTTACGTGGCAGGAGGTACGTACGGCAATGTTTAGTTTTTCTCGAGTGAACGCTGCAGGGCGGCGTGGCTGCTACCAGTTTGTCCGCTTAGCTCAGGTCCGGAGGAGGATGAGCCGACCGCAGGGATGACCGGGATTGGGTCCGGGGAAGAGCGGTTCCAGAAATCAGTAAGATGAAAAACAGAATCCGAAAAATAAGGGCGGGATCCGAAAACGCGGTCGAAATCAAAGACGAGGGCTTTTGCTTTTTACATTTTTTTTCTGGATGGCTTTTTCAAACCGTTGCTTGGGTTTAGGGAAGGAGGAGGAGGAGGAGGAAGAGGAGGGCGGCCAGCCAGTCGGACAGACGGTTGCTCCACAGCGGCCTCTCGCGGATCCGTGAAAACAAAAACTGCTCGAATACGTACCTCCCGGGAAGTATTTCGCGGTCCGCGGGGCTACGTTTCCACAATGAGCCTGGGTTGGTATTAGCGTATTTTTTACAACTAAAGAAAACTACTGCATATCCCAGAGATGGGTTGCGGCTGGAAGGGCATTCGCTGCGTAAAAACTTGCTGGATAAGTTGGCGGTTCATTCCGCTGTGGCGACCCCGGATTAATAAAGGGACTAAGCCGACAAGAAAATGAATGAATGAATGAAAACCACTGCATATCCTAGTAAAGTGTTTAACGGAGGCCAGCTGGCGAGTGCAAGCCGAAAGCATCACTCACATAGCCTCCTCCTTATAGCATTCGCCCCCCATGCAGGAATTGCTGGTTCGATCCCCACTTGGAACGAGTGGGTGGGTGAAGGACTAGATGGAATATGATAACTGTAAATAGTTTTGAATTTTAAATACTTTGGATTTTACTCATCATCAGTGGTGTAATGTAACATACCTTATGTGTAAAAACTACAGTGATTGAGTAATTTGTTTATATTACTGTTGTTGTATTACTACATGGATGAGTTGGTCAGTTGTGAACATTTGACATTATTGCACACATTGCTTTCCCACACTTTAACCAGAAAAGGGTCCTCATAAAGCTCTGATTTTGAAGCCTCAAGTAACAAACCTTTTTCCGATACAATTGAGTCGAGCGCTTCAATGGTTCAGCTTAATTTCACCATCATTACAAAACAGGAACAAACAGATGTATATGGACAATCCAGAGTTGTAATCGTAATAGCAGACAAGTGGTCTAAAGACAGGCAGCAAACAGAGATAATCAAATAAAGCAAGGCAAGGTCAAACACGGAAACCAGAGCAAGGGGAAACCGCGTCAGCTTACAGCTTACAAGACCCAGCAACATAGTGTTTGTTTGTGCTGCTAATGTAGTCCAGTAATCAGTCCAAAAGCAGCATCAGCTGTGACGGTCTAATCAGTGGAGACTTGAAGCAGGTGTGTGTGTGTTGCATGACTGAATATGTAGTCCATAAAATGGCTGTTTTGTAGTTTGTGTGAATGTGAGTGTTTCCCAGCGATCTCTGGAAAAAAGGGCATAATATGTCCCCTTTAGTGTTCATTCTGGTAGGACTGTGTGTGCATGTGATTGTGCAAACCCATAGCAAGCTGCCTTCACTTTTACCACACATTTTCACTCCCTATTCGCATATGTCTATTATGAAAGAAATCAGTCTTTAACAGGACCGATGAAAGAAATGAAGTCCTGCTGCGCACAGAGTCTCAAAGTTACCAGCAAGAGCTTGTGCGGGAATGAAGCTATAATGTTTTACTGCTACATAATATTGATTTAGTCTTTTAATTTCCCAATTTAACTATTCCACAATAGCACACTTTTGTTCAGTAGATGACTGGGGAGAAAAACACTTATTGAGACATGTTTGTGCATAGTGTTTTTCAGTTTGTGGTTTAGGTTAACATTATAATATATATATATATATATATATATATATATAAAATTTGTAATCAGTAACACTCACTTTGAAGCTGCGAGTCCTTTTGGGACGTTACATTGGACAGTTTTTTTTTTTTTCAATCAAT